AGCCTTGATGCCTGACCCCTACAGATTACCCCCAAGCTTAAGCCTTACACGCCAAGCCCTAAGGCCCTATAATCCTCACTTCCAAGAGTGACAATCCCGAGTCGTAAAGCTGCGGAGGCCCACCATAGTTAGATCTACTTTAAACTACAGTACTTATAATCCTAAACCCTAAACCCTAAACCTACTGTACTTACAAAGCCCAATCAGTGGAGTCCTGGAGGCCCCAAGCCCTAAACCCTATATCTCCCTTTTCAAGGAAGTGTATAGATGCCTTTAAGGAGCCCTATAGATCCCTATCAGGAGCCCTATAGATCCCTTTAAGGAACCTTACCATCATTGGAGGCCTCCGACCAGGAGACCGGACAAATTGCCGTCGCCGTGTTCTCGGCGACTTTGTCCCTCGGCCTCTCCGGATTCGTAGAGGCCTTGGGGATTGAGGTTTAGGGTTTTAGGGTTTTAGGGTTTGGGGTTTAGGATTTAAAGTTTAGGGCTTAGGGGTTTAGGGTTCATGGTTCAGGGTTTAGATGTAGCTGCTGTGCTCAAAGGCCTGGAGACCGGTGATGTCTCAATTGTTGCACTTTCCTGAGACTGCTTTAGTAATTTAGAGGTCGGAGTTTTTCATTTTGTAATTCGTTATAGTGATGTCGCATCTCCTTATAGTCCTCATACAACTATAGCATAGTAGTCCCCTATATTCCTTAGACATTTCTCTTTCTCTCGGATACCACAAGGGTTTGGGCCTGCACATTCCGTGGATCTTTCCCCTGTCGTACATACAACAAGGATTGAGGATGGAACTATTCAGGCTGCGTTTAGGGATTATAGTAGGGTTCAAGATGTAGGGCTTCGGGTGTCGCGGTGCGCCGAGGCTGATCACAATCCTGGGCCTCGTGCGGCATGCCTGCAATGGTTGAAAGCATAGTCGATCCCAGAGGGTGCACAGATACTACCATGATGGAATTAAGCAACAAGACACCATTCCAATCGGGGTCTTAGAGGACTTAATTCCGCAATATGGTTTTCAGTTAAGGATTTAGATTGAAGCTTTCATTTGGGGGATCAAAGCTGGCAGCCAGGGACGCCTTAATTGGGAATACGCCTGACATAATAAATTATAGACTGACGGTTGAGAGGGGGCTTACGAAGTTTGGGATTTAGAGCAAGCTCTTTCGGTTTTAGGTTTTCTGCACTGTTTTGGCCCGGTAAGCTCTGCAGTAGGCTACCCGAAGAACGACACAAAATCACGAGCTACAGTCCCGGACCAAGGAAACCCACACCCTAACGGTTTTGGGGGTTGTAGTTTTTGGGTCGCGGGCTTGGGCCCAAGCTCATATTAAATGAGGCTTTTTGTTGTTTCATGTTGACGACTGGGGCCCCTACTTTTTGGTTTTCATGCCCAAACTTGAGGTGTTAGGGTTCTTCGCACTTCGCCGAATCCGTAAAGACCGTGAAACCCGACACAAAATCTGTATGAAGCTGGATCAAAGACCGGACAGGTCCACATAAAAACTCGGCAAGCTCCCTCAAGCTTAACTCTGATGTAGAAGCCCGCAACGCTCACACAACTAAAGCCCCAAACGGTTTAGGGCTTTGGATTGAGTCCCAGGTACGTCTTGCAAGCAGAGCGACGGATCCCGATTCTCTTCGCCAAGCGATTGCAAGAAGAGGCGCCACCATGCCAGTGTAGAGGTTCGAGTTTACTTACCTACAATTGTTTGTAGCGTTTGGAGGTTGTGGATGTGCATTTTAACTAGGTTCTTGAAAGGATGGTATGAATTAGCGAACAGGGTTCTGAGAATAGAACCTTTATTTGTTTCCAATTAGAGTACTGTTGGCTGCTGTTGGCTATGATGGATTGCGGGACCCCGTCAGCACCAACAATGTCAAAAAGAACCTTTACAGCCCAAAACGCTAACCCTGAACCTGAACCCTAACTCCAAGTCGCTAATTTGAAGCCCTGAGCTTGCACGTAAGCCCTGAGCCGCCAAACCCAACCCCTTTACGACCCCAAACCCCACAACTACAAAGCCTTGTAATTACACGCAAACCCCGTACTGCTAACCGAATATGAATATGAGGGTCTGAAGAATTGATGATGTTGTTCCTTATGGTTCCTAACTTGTAACGATAGTATACTATACACCCCAAAACCCCATTCTAACCCTTGCTAACCAGTCAAATCCACATATTACCCCTAATTCAGGTCAGATTGAGCGAGCTCCATTGGCCACAAGATCTTGAGCAACCAGCCCAGAAATTTCAATATCACGTTCCTTCAATCAGCTTTTGGTTTCTACTACATACTCAAGGAGATACACTCCTCTAGTAGCCGCCCTGTCGAGTCAAAAATATGAACCCGCGAACACAGTCTTGGGACTCCGTCTTCCACACAACCACGCCCTGAACCGTTGAGGGTTTAGGGTTTTCACCCTAACAGCCACCTTAACCCTGAATAACCTACCTTTTTAGGGGCTCCTTAACTTGAGTTCCTCATATAAGTCCTTGAAAAGGTAGGTTATTCAGGGTTAAGGCAAGCCCAAGCCCTCAAGACCCCTTCGGGGCGTCTGGCTTGCAGGCCTCCGGCCAGGGTGCCACAGACGATGCCGGGCAAAGCCTGCCGGCCGAACATAGGGCTGGCCTCCTTTAGTTTATGGATCCTTTTGACTTTCATGTACGAAGTCTTTCTCAGGATGTCTTCAAGGGTTCTGTAATGACTTCAACGTGCAAGATTTTGGTTCAGGACTCAAGTCGGTTTAAGGCTTGGAGTTCAGAAGTTTGGGGTTTAGGTTTCAGGTTTAGGGTTCAGGGTCTAAGGTTCAGGGTTCGTTCAGAGGTTGGGGTTCGGGATTTGGGTTACCACTGGCATAATCTGCTCATTCGTGGGCTTGGGGGAGTACAGATACAGCATAATATGAGGTGGTAGTTAGGTTTTCGGCGACAGCTTAAGTTTGGGGTTTAATCGGCTTGGGGCGTCTGAGCTGGAAGGCTTATGTTGTGTAAGGCTTGGCGCAGTTCTATTAATCGGAGGTTTGCAGCATGGTCCAGGCAGGGTTTATTCTGGGAAGGCTATCTGCCCATCAAGCTCAATGCCTCGGGCGTGCTTCCACTGATCTTCGCAGGCGTGCCGTACCGGGGTCGAGAGGGGTGGCGTGAAGATTTGGAGTCTAGGGGGCGGAGCGGGTTACTTGTCCCGTGAAATTGGCGGTTCTGTATCAAGCGGATTTTGGGATTTACGGGCTAATGATTCTACACCTTCAAACATGCGATCTAGAGTTTAAGAATTCACAAACAGCTGGAAGACTTGAGTTCAGATTGTGATTGACTTGGCAAATTTAGACCATGAAGTTCGGTTGGGGGGCATCTAGGGCATACGGGATACCATCGGGATCCTCGGTCGCCTTCTTCTTTCAGATCGGGGGACCTAGCAGGGTAGGGTGATTCTTTTTCGGACACTGCGCATGAGGCATTTACAATCCCACTTGTAATAACCTACTTACTATAATTAAGGTCCATGATCATCCAAGTCCTTCCCTGAAGCCTCAACTCCATACTCTCCGGCTTCAGAGCACTCTAAAGCTCTGCTGAGCCTGATGCCTTATGCATCCCAACTCAACTCCACCCAATAGCAAGGCCTGGGTATGTAGAATCTACAACCGGGTGCTGGGGTATACTTTGCCATAGCAAAAATTTGAACTATCAGGCGATGCTATGGCTAATTTTAATTCTATCTAAGTCTTCCGACCCCTATATAGACCGCCTCCCTCCTTCGCATAGCTGCGCTTCTCGTGCATTCCACCTGATGATCGGACAACCCGGGGCACCGAAGCAGATCGCTCTTCGGGTTCCTTGAGAGTGGTCACAGCCCCTTAAACTTGCAAATTTTTAGGTGGACTCACGAACGGCTGAACCCCATGAACCCAACCTCGTAACCATGACCCCAATAGACACTAAACCCTCAACCCAAGAGTTATGTTGCCGTCACGTCTCTTACCTGCAATCGAAACCCGAAGAATCCAACTAAACCCAAAGCCCGCCCTGAAGCGTTTAACGGAAACGAGAAGAACTTGCCGAACAAGATTCTGAACCTTCCTGAATATTGAGTTGGTAAACCTAGACTCTCAACGCAAAAACTGTCAAGCTGTTGGAGATTTACCAGAACCCGTGTAGAGCCCTGTTAGAACCCTTCTAGAGCCCTTGCAGAAGCCCTGAAATATCCTGAGCTGAGATGATGCAGCATGTTGTTGTGAAGCAAAATACACGCACAACATTCAGCAGGAAGATGGGCAGGCAAAGTGCCAGAGTTGCATCCAGGTTGCTCAACTCTCTGAGATTCATATGCTGGTGCTGCATAAAAAAATGAAAATGCTGTCTGGCAAAGTCCGGCCTCGTCCCATGGCCTTGCCCCTCAGCTACTTCTGCAGCTGTCGTCAAGTCTTGACACTCGCAGCGGCTGAATTTCCGATGATCTTTGAGGAAGACTTCTCAACGACACGAGCTGCATATGCAAACGATCCTCTTTTTAGTTTGCACGCGCCTTGGAAAGGTCGTGTATTCAAAAAGGCGCTTTCGCAGACATTGGCAGATAGGTTTCCTTCCGCACCGTTGGAAAAAGCGTTGCCTGGTTGCGCATAAATGGCACCAGACGAGGAGACAGTCAAGGGGAGTTCGATTTTACCCACGGCGTTCGCAGGGTTAAGTGTAGAGGCACCAGTTTGGCTTGGAATTCTGAACGCTGTGCTTGGGCTGCCCACTGGAAAAGCATCAAGTTCAAGCAGTATTGTTTTGACGATCTGTATCTGGCTCTTCACTCGCCGGGGCAGGTTGACATAGTTTTACATGATGGTGTGGCCGGCATCGCGGAGCCTGGAATTAAGACCAACCACCGGGGCGACACTGTGAATATCTGGGGTGCATGTGGCACACACAGTGCAAGAGAAGCTTGTCAAACGATTCTGCAAAAATTGCTAATCCCGCCCCATGGCTGTAAACATATTGCCACGATGCGCACTGATAGCGGTCGTATTGCCGAGCTGGTGTCGCAAGAGCAACTCGCTGAGAGCTACCAGCTTTCCGCCACCTGCTACAAGGGTATCCCTCTAGCAGGCCATAGCCCATGCTCGCGAGCCTTGCGTTTACAGGATTTGGCTTTCGCAGTCGATGAGAAGCTTCATATGAAGAGCCGGTTCAGACGTGATGTTTGTGCATCCGAGGTTGTAGGCACGCTTCGTCGACAACGCCGTGGCAAGTATCGCAGCAGTGCCGATTGGTGGCGAGACAGCATTCGAGTAGAGTTCAAGTCTTCAAAGATGTCTTGGGTCAGTGGCCCCCGGCACTGGCTCGCTCATTTCTCCACGGTGAAATTCGCTTCGCAAGGCCATCCCCGTTCGGCAGTCTTCGATGAGCTGATGCTGGGGTTGTATGCACCGTTCGGGCTGTACCTGCTGCAGTATTCCGGCGACTTTGGACGGTCAAGAAAAGGGGTTGCAACAGATCATCTTGGCCATTCTATTGTAGTACGCGGTCCCAGAAACGAAGAGTGTCCACAAGTTGCCCTTGGACAAATGCTCGCGAAGCTTGAGCAGTCAGGCTGCAGGCTGCTCGCCATTGTGAAGTGGTGAGAGTTGTTCACATCCCTCAGAAAAGCGCGTATAGCCTCTTCTTTCTGGACTTCGGTTGCAGTGGAGCTATTCAAGATCTGGGCTCTGAAACAGATTGAAACAGCCTTGACTGGTTCTGGCCTGACAGTGGTAAGTGTCATCCCAAGTAACTTCAGTATACAAGCTAACCTGTAGTCCTGCTCTGATCACGTGACTGGTGAAATCTTCGGATTGATGCAGCATCTCGTCGACACCATTTGCGGCCGACCCTCTTTACCTATCACCGGCAAAGGAGAGCGACGAAGTGAACCTCTTCTAAAGTTTTAATAATGTTCGTCCTAGGTAGTAGTTAGGAGACCATTTGAAGGGGACCCTTCTTCACCCTACTGGCTCTCTGAAACGGGGACCTCTTAAACGGGGGCCTTCTGAAGAGGGTCCATGTCCCCAAGCGTCCTCCTACGGTTGATGATATCAGTCCTGCATTACATGATAATGAGGAATATGCCATTTGCCCATAGTCTAGGTCTAGGTATTGCAGGATTTATATCATCAACCGTAGTTCGAAGACTGATGAAGGCTCCTTGCTGTCTTTGCCGGCTTTGGCTGCAAACTACACGTGCTTTTGGCAGCATCAGGGATGAGCGAGGGCCTGTTAACATTAGCAGCACGTCTTAATAGGGTTTAGGGTTTTCTGGTTTTAGGGTTTGGGTTTTGCAGAAGAAACCCGGGATCTACGAGTTGTTTTCTTTTTCATTAAAGTTGTTTTGAACATTTTTAGGGTTCTTTATGAGGGACCCTTCCTTTCTGAAACTCCATCAGGTCTTCGAAGCCCGATGATGAATAGGTTCCCTTCCCTCAAAAGCACTGACATGAGGATCCCTGTTACAGTCCTAAGTCGGGAAGAAAGCTTTATTCATCAAGGGCTTTCATTACTGCCATAGTATGTACCTGCACACCATGATCCAATTATTCAGGCTTGTATATTGGCGACCCAGGGTTGTAGTCTTATCGGGTTCAAGCTTGAGGGCTCGGGCTTCAAGGCATGGATCTGGGGCTTAAGGCTTGGGCTTTGGGGGTGTTGGCCATAATCGCAGGAAGGACTACAGCCACAGTGGGAGGAAGGGTACTCATCAAGGGTGACATTCGTTAGACACATGGGTGCTCGGATGATGCCATTGGACCCGTACGTAGAAGGCTGCCTTTAGAAGAATCGCTACCATAAAGGGAGCCCAGTTTCCAAGAAGCTGTGTGTGTTTCTTGTCTGGAGTGTCAGCATGTTTGGGGTTTAAGTTCCCCAAAATCTTAAAACTGCCATGCAACGAAGTGTGTGTGTACACAGATGTACATATATATATATATATGTAAATAGATACACATATGTACATGTGTATGCTTGTATGTAGGTATGTATGCTTTTATGCGTATATATATATATATATATATATATAGATGTTCGTTTTTCATTTATGCAATTATGTGTTTATGTTGTTTGTGGGGAGACCTTGACGAGAAGCCGCCCGGCAGGTGCCACAACGGCTTTGGGCTTTGTTTAGGGGCTTATGGTTCGAGGTACGATATGGTCTAATTACTTACAACTAACCTTAAGCATGTGCTAGAGATCGGACGAATCAGCATCAGACGGGGTGGTCTTTATGACTGCAGCCTCACACACTGTCTTGCTCAAGTTTGCTGCGCAGATCCCGGTGCCCTAACTGTATGTACATAGTCATGCAGACAACAGAATGGTATATCAATGTACAAGTTTGTGTGCCGATATGATAAGATATAATAAAATGTCTCTTCATGTCTAGATGTACGTACAGTTATGTTCACATCTAGTTTCCTAAGCCGTAAATCCCTAAAGCTACAGAAAGAAAGCACCAAGTAACTCCGCAGCCCTGCGAGCTTGCGAAAGTACCAGGATCTTCCCAGGCCGCAACCTCTCAACCCTAAGCCCAAGGGTTTAAGAGTAGAGGCTGTAGGTTGGGCGCACCACCTGCTGCCCACAATGCCGTCAGCCTTTCAACCCTTGAGAAATCCAAAGCCTTAATAAGCACTGGCACTACGGGAACAAAACTTTCAGCTTGTCAGTCGGCAGCCATAAAAGCCTGAAGCGGCCCTGACCCTTCAAGCTTTCAGCTCTAAATACAAACCCTACGTGGAGCCTGAACACTAACCAGAAATACAGCCGGGGTGTTTGTTCTTCGGTTGGCGGAGTAAGGATTTGCTTTAGATGTCTAGGGGTCGAGGGGCAGCACTTGTCCCCCTATAAGAGCAGATAAAGGAGGGCAGGATGGCTAAGTCCTGAAGCTCAACAGCCGTGTTTTTCAGTTTGAGGTTGTGTTACTTAAACGATAAAGGGACTTAGTAACTAAAACACCCCCAGATCTGCCACAGCCCTTTCGATTGATTAAGGAATGTACCTTAAATTCATTACTAGGGATGCTACCATGAGATGTGCTCCTTAGTCATGGGATCTTGGAAGATCTGGGCACAAAAACCCTGAAGCACGAAGCTGAAGGAAAGCCGGATGGCTTCAGCCCGTGGCCAAGAGTCTGCTACCAGGAAGTCAGGCTTACATCCCAGTGCCGCTCGGCTCAGCCACACTGTTGATGGACAAAATCCTGCATTACCCATTATAAGAAATATACTATAGTTCCCATAGTTTATAGTCCTAAGGGTCATGCAGGATTTTGTCCATCAGCCGTATCTTGGAGTGCGGGTTTAAGGTTTCGGATTCACGGTCTAGAGCTCCGATTCAGAGTTATACCCGACACCCTAAACCCAGCTAAGCCTTCTTCCTTTACAACCCTATGAAGCCCTTTGGTTTGGAGATGTCGAAACGGTTGCAGTGCAAGTATGGTACAGTAGAACCCAGGGGGGTTCAATCGGAAGGGTTTAGGAGTTTAGGGCTTTTTGTGTTTGGATTCTTAGGGTACGGGGGTTCTGGGCCTTTTCCTTGACCCCGGAACCCTGAACCTTACTCCTTCCTTGAAAGGTCGTGAAGACCATACAAAAGCCTGAATATTTCATAATGCTATTCTGTGGGCTGGGTTAATATTCACCAATACCCTCTTCCAAAAAAAATCTCCTATACCAGGCCCTTGTAATAACCCTTATACCTCATCCTGACCTTTGTCTAAACCTCGCGGGGCCCGACGGAACCCTATTCCATTGTGGCCCGTATGAGTGGACTTGATTGTTCAGGCTAGTCTTGCTCTTTAGGCCGGGGGAATGCTTGAGCGTCTAGGGTTAAGGGTTAAGGGTGCAGTTTAATATAGGGGCTTAGATTCTTAGATAATCACCAATACGATTGTGAGGATTCCTTATTCTAAGCCCCAAAACCCTATTCTAAGTAGTAAGGCTAGGGTTTAGAGTTTTAACACCGAATAACCTACCATTTAAGGGACTTATATAGGAAGTCATAGTACGGAAGCCTCAAAAGGTAGGTTTCTGTAAGGGTCCAGGCAGGGTTTGGAGTGTAGGGTAGGGTCGAGGGTGGTGCCGAATCGAACCACGGCCTTCAAGGTGTTTCTTTGCAGGGTTTAAGGATAGGGACTTACCCTGGGGATCAACAAAGCCCAAAAGCCTTATATAGTATGGTCTTTGGGACCAAAAGCCTTAACAAAAGAGTCCTTAGATCCCAAGGGTTAGGGTTGCCAACAGATCGTTGTGAAGTTGAGTTCGTACGGAGTTGCAATGTAGATCCTTGACTTATCACCTTACAACGAGGATCTCTGCAAAAGGTACACCTGATTTCGAGATCCGCCAGCTGCACCCTAAAAACTTACGTAGCAGACACCCGCCCGGCCTGTATGTCGTTAAGCCGAAAAGGTTCTCCGTTGAATAGTCCGTAGTTCCTTCTCCCTGAGCTTAGGCCTTATACCCGGACCACTTGAGGTCTGTTGAGGCTTTGGGATACCGAATGGTCTACTATATCCTTCATGTTCTGTAGAAGAAGAGTGGAAACCCCGACCTTAAACCAAACTTAAACCCAAAACCCTATGCTTGAACCCTAAACCGTACACCCAAACCCTAAACCACCCTAAACCCCTAAACCCCTAAACCCTAAACCCTAAACCCTAAACCCCTAAACCCTAAACCACCCTAAACCCCTAAAACCCTAAACCCTAAACCCCAAACCCCTAAACCCTAAACCCTAAACCCATCTCACTCAAGGAGCATGGTGCTGATCGGAGTGCATCTCGGCATGGAGCCCCTTCGATTCGGCCGTAACCTCTACAAGTCTAGCCTTCGGGTTTAGGGGTTTAGGGTTCTGGGTTTAGGGTTTAGGGGCTTAGGGTTTAAAAGGGGTTTAGGGTGTAGGGTTTAGGGGCTTAGGGTTTCGGGTTTAGGGGTTTAGGGTTCTGGGGTTTTGGGGTTTAGGGTTTAGGGTTCTGGGTTTAGGGTTTAGGGGTTTAGGGTTTAGGTTTTAGAGCTTAGGGTTTAAGGTTCTGGGTTTTGGGGTTATGATCGATGGTGGCAAAATCGAGGGAGCGCTGATAGTTAGCTCCGTGAGAGAAGTCTCTCGGGAAAGGGTCGCTCATGGGTTAAGATTGTGGGCTCTATGTCTTTCGGGAAAAGGGGGGGGGGCAGGGCGGTCCCAAATTTCCCAACTATGGGAATGCAGCTCTAGTGGCATGTCTGATGTTGCAGCGGAGTTTCATGGAGTCGATCTCGTTGCTGTCTAAACAGCACCTACACGGTGTTGGTAGTCAGCTGAAACCAGCATTGGCTAGCCGATTCGATTCGAATTTTTGGATGCAGAGCCGAGGAAAACAAAACAAGTTTCTGTGCTTAAAGCAACTTAGTAACTCTCTTCAACCTTCCTTATGAAACACTTTGATTGGCACCCTGTACAGAAGCCTTTGTAGCCGCATGCTTGAGCATCGGGTTCGGAATAGCTGGTAACGACATGCCGGTCGAGCTATACAAACCCAAACACTACTTCTAACCATTGAGGTTCCTATACTATAAAGCCCTTATGAGAAACTTTGAAAAAGCCCTCCATCAACCCTTGC